CAAGGGCATGCGCCAAGGCAAAAAGCAGCAGCAAGTATTTATGCCTCCACCTTTTTCCCCATGGCAGCCGCACACCCCTGCTCGTGGGGACACAGGCCAATGGTCCAACTACCAGCTAAGCTTTTGCAGGATGAATGCACCCTGAGGAAGCTCAAAGTCAGGTGCTTGGGTACTTAGTGTGCAGATGGAGACATTCTAGCAACAACTCCACAACATTTTGATGGTCTGCCGAGTTTTGCAAAATCTCAATCTTTCTTGATGTGTGGAGCCCAAAACTGGACACAGAACTTCAGGTGAGGTCTCACCAGTGCTGAGGAAAGGCTGAGAGATATGGGACTGTTCAGCCTAGAAAAGAGAAAACTTTGGGGGGGTTTGGGGGCAGGTTACAAATATATCAGGGGAGAGCATCAGGGGCTAGGTGAACAACTATTCACTAAAGTGCCCCAGGGGAAAACCAGGAGCAACAGTCATAAACTCTTAGAAGAAGGTTTCAAACTGGATATAAGGGAAATCTTCTTCACAGTTCATGTGACCAGACTCTGGAATAGACTCCCAGTGGTGGTGGTGTAGGCACCTACCCTGGAGATCTTCAAAAGAAGACCTTGCTGGAGTTATTTGACCCCAACAGTCTTCCCTGCCCAGAGCAGAGGGGCTGGACCCGATGATCTTACAAAGTCCCTTCCAGCCCTAAATGTCTGTGAATCTCTGAACAGAAGAGTCGTTTTGCTAGATTTGCAATTGTGTTAATACAATCTAGTATGTTGTTAGTTTTTTTGGCAACAACAGTACGCCATTGACTCATATTCAGCATATGGTCTACTATAACCCCCAGATCCTTCTCTCCTGCTTTTTCCATTTTCCAGGTTTTCCCAACTTCAGAGGATGTGACCCTGGTTTATTTAATGAAAGGGCAGAAAAAAATACCTGTTTGCCAAAGCCAAGGGGAACCATACTAGATGTGCTTTGCTGTGCTGTTCATCAGGATGGTGCCCACAGCAATTCAGGACTAATGGATAGGGACAGCCACCTACTTAGGAATCAGAGACAAGGGAATTCCCAGGAATGTAAAAGTTTAGCTACAGCTTCCTGCTTCTCAAGTTCATCTTTATTTCTGAAATGATCCATGTCTGACAGACATCAGTGCTTCCCTGCAGTGATCAGGGAGCAAGTTAATTTTGGCTTGGCTAGAAACTTAACTCAGGGCTTGTCTGTGGAAGGGGGTGGATGGGGAAGTGGAAAGGAGGCTGTATTTGAACAGGCTAGTTTGTATTTGCTTGCTTGTGGCACTTGCTATGCTGAAAAGGAGTGCTGTTTCAGGTTGCTTTAACTGTATTTGCAAGCCCTCTAGGGCTCTTCTACAATAAAGAGGCAGCTGCTGCATGGAAATGCCTTTCAGTTTTATGTTTGATGTGCTGGGAAACAGGGTGGACAGAGTCCCACGACTGTCAGTGCCTGAGGCATGTTGTCTAGAGAAATGTGCAGGGTGGGAGGGATTGCCAGGGACTGGCATGGGAGAGTAGTACATGCAGCTCCTGGGACACCATGGGAGAAAAAAGGGGGCTGAAGCTAACAGAAAATATGCTTGTCCACATCTGCACCAACTGAGTGAACAAGCAATGTGAACAAAGATACTTTGGCATTAAAAACTACCCACTCTTGCTGTTTTTGTCCACATCTTCATTGCTGATGGGTGCTCCATCTGTGGGGATGGCTTGCAGGGGCTGACTGGCTGCTGGCAAGGAGGCTGATGGCTGTGCTGATACAGGTCAGGTGCTCTGGATTCAGGGGCCTCAGTGCTCTTCTCAGAAAGCCAAAATAAAAGTGTGGGCTCCTCTGTAGTGAAAAGACCCTGATTCTCTGAGACCTCCTTGCCTTTGAGCTCCTCTGTGCCACCTATGTGTTTTCTTAGGGAGGGTCCCCAAAATCATGCTAGCAAGCCACTACCTGAAAACTGCATAAGAAGGGGAAATGAGTGGTTCCTTCCAGAAGATTTCTATAGGAGGGTTGGCATTTTGGGGGGCCATGGCCAAAGGGAGAGATGCACACAAGAGATTCAAACACTCTTTAGAGACCTCAGGGAGTGCTGACAACTCTGGGGAATAGCATCCCACCAGAAAGGCCCCTGACAAAGTCCAATGCTCTCTAGAGGAAGTGGAGCAGGAAGCCAAATGGAGCTAGGAGTGTGGGTTGAATAAAGATGCAGGACTGGGTATCTGAGGGTAGCCAGGCTGAGCTGATTGCTTGGTTGGAGGACACAGTGGAAGCCGGCATTCGTTGTTGGCCTGAACATGCCTTGGAACTGTGAGGCCATACATACTGGTGCAAGCCAGCTGCATGGGAATCAGGTCTTTGGCAGGTTCTTGCTCAAGAAAAAGGGAAATGGGGGTAAGAGTGTTTGGGCATGGGATATTTACTGGGAGAGATGGGACTTCCACTGAACTCTAATACAAGGAAGGAGATCCCCTGGACTTGACCTATAAATAGAATGGTTTAAAGTTGTGCTTTGCCTCACCTTGTGTAACTCTGGGGGGAGGCAGGGGTTGTACTGGTGGAGGCAGCTGCTTAACTACTCCTGGTGGGAATGATCATGTGCTTGGAATTAGGGCTGGGAAGTGCACAAGAGTGATAATGTACAGAATAAGTGAGAGGGAAACTAATGCTTGTGGGGGTACATTTAGAAGGGATGAGTATGGAGAGGGGAGGACAGTGTGTGGAACGTGTAACTAGTATTCAGTATCTGCATGTGTGTACTCAGGATGAGTTGATGGGTGAATGGAGAATAGTAGAGAGGGTAGTGTAAATTTTGCCTAGCCAGTCTGCATTAAAAGTTTAAGTAGAAAGCAAGAGCGGAAAGAAAATTGCTGGTGGAAGTATGCTAGTTGAAATGTATAGAGTGGATGTATAAAGTGAGTTAAGTAGGACAAATGAGCAGTGTGTCCACAAAGTTGCATATCTATGTAAATTTATGCAAATTAAAATCCACAGGAGGGAGGGTTGTTTGCAAAGGTTGACAGGTATTATCCTGGCCTCCAACCTGCAGGCTGTGACCCTGTGTCCTCCTGCTGCAGCTACCTCTGCCCTCCTGCCAGGAGAAGGTGGTCTTTGTCCAGCTTTAGCCATCTAGTCCAAGCTTCCACGCTGCTAGACAGCCTCTCTCTCTGCAGTCAGACAGCTGTCTCTAGCCTGCAACGCCTTCTCTCACAGAGCCTCCAGCTCCCCCCCCAAGCCTGGTCTTCTCTGACCTCTGGAAATTATTTTCTTGTCCTGTTGTAGAGGGATTATGGAGCCCTCTTCTGGCTGGATGTTGCCCTCAGTAATGTAGAAACAAATCATAGATTCATTAGAATGCATATTAATTAATACTAAATATGTACAGCATCTGAAAATCCAGTATTACAAGAATCACTTACTATATTATGGAATATGCGTATACATGCATATTTTATATGTGTGTGCATTCTTTATTATTAGTAATAGTATTATTGTGGTATATACACATAGGGGTGTGTGTGTGTGTGTGTGTGTGTGTGTACATACATACACACACACACACACACACATTTAAATATATGTGAGCTACATATTATAAATTAATCGTAAGATTTCACTGATGTAATGAGTGACCTGCTGTAGTGAAGCATGTAAATTTCTTTTCTCTTTGGTGAATAGTTGGTTCATACCTGCAGTGTTTAAGTCAAGCAGTCCTGCATAAGTACCTATGCCACGTATAAGCTTGCTGTTTCCTAAGGCTTTAACACAGGCATTATGTTGCTGCTTGTTACATTTTCTATTAATACTGTATTTCTAACAGAATGAGCAGTGAAGCACTCATCCACGTAAGCCAACCTAAAAAGTTCCCTATTTTAACGCATTATGCGGCAGATCAAAAACAATGATGACTATATTTTAAGATTTCAAGATTTTTGCAAAGAACATGTATTAACTATAGAAAGCTGACTAAGAGAAACATGACACAAAAAGGTAGCCATTTAAAACAATAACATCAGCTGTGATGCTCTATTTCAATATGTATTTATAATTTGCTGCAGTGTTTTAACAAGGAAAGGTCAGCAGAAGCAATCATAGATATGTATTGATTAGACTGCAAATACTGCAAGTAGGACTTATTTATTATAATTTCATGAAACTGCTATAAAAACAAATGTAGCACTAAGCCCAACTCAAAAAGTATTCAATAGACTAAAGTATAATAGTTAATATGCAACAGAAAAGTCTACATGTGTGCATGCATTTTTTTTCAGTTGAATATAATGTATGTGTGTGGAAAAGTCAAGAATATAACAAATGATTAGACTTCTCATTACTTGACTCATGCCACTTATTCTTGGTGTTTTTTATCCTCCTCCCACATACTCCAACTGTTTTTCAGTTTCTATTTCAGTTTACCAGGACCTAACACAACTGTGCTGCCAGATTCCCTGCACAGGGGATTTGCACTTAGGACACTAAATTTAGACTTTCCTTAAACAGTTATAGTGAAGTCTATAGTTTTAGGATTTTCTCCAGGACTGAACTTGGCCAGGAAGGGATGGAAAGGCACATTCATATTTAATATCTCCATTTTTATTACTCCTTTGGATTCAGACTGCCATCAACAAGCTATATTTTTTATTCTTAAGTGTTCAGAAAATGCATTTTTTTCACCACAAAGGCTACAGAACTATCTTGAGAGGTTACAAATGTGCCATTAGAGGCTATATGAAATGCTATAGTAACTGTGCTTGTTCTTCCCCCATGCTGACTGGGTATTCACCTCCATCCCTTTTTTTCCTTCCTCTCACAATGAATGTTTCCTTTTTTCTCATATTCCTCTCCTTATTGCTCTCCTTCCTCTCCCATTTCTCAGTGCCCTCTACTTTGTCTTCTGCATGAAATGGTCCCATCTTGCCTGACACAAGAAACATTAAAAACCTTTCAGGCCTCCTCTACAAATAAAGATAGAAGCAGATACAAACAGAGCTCTAATTTTCATTTGGCAGGGAATTCAGAAGATGCCCGTTCAGTAGATCTCAGCTTACGTAGTGACAATGAAGAAAGAGGTTTCTACACAGAAAACTTTCATTCAGCTGCTTGGGTTTTCCGAGGGGATGATGTCAGTCCAGATAACAGCCCCAGATGCCTCAGCAAAAGGAACAGGCCAGTAGCAAGTAAGTATTCTCAAGTTATAAGTAACAAATGTCAGTAGCGGGCATGTCTATTGCACCCTTTTACTGCAACAGGGAGGACTGAATTTGGGAGCACCCCACACATGCTATTGTCCCAAAACAGAAGTAAGGCAACCCCCTTACAACAGCACTGGGCACACATCAGTAATCTCTCCCAAGTCAGTAAGCTTATAGATGCATGCTCAGCAGCACACTAAACTGGCTATATTACTTCTGTTTTGAGAGACAGTATGCCTAGAGTTGGCATGACATGCCTTACTGTAGTGCTACCTGGTATATTACTGAGGCACTGTAGAAATAGACAATGCATACGTGTTGACAGTGGGGGAGCACAATTCCACCCCATCACACCCCCACTGCTGCCAGGCCCTGGCTTTGGCCGAGCTACAGCCCCATATCCCAAGGCCTGCCATTGCCAGAGAAATCTGCGGGGTCACATGCCCCCCCTGTGTCTCCCCTCCTAAGCCCGGTGTTTCTATATGCCAGTGGCTCTCCACCTTTTTAGATTTCAGATATCCCTGCATAACTTTTTTGAATATCATTGCAGCCCTTTTCAAAAACTGCTTTATTTATTACAGTGATTACTTCATAGATTCATAGAAATTAGGGTTGGAAAGGATCTCAGGAAGTCATCTAATCCAACCCCCTGGTCAAAGCAGGATCATCCCCAACTACATCATCCCAGCCCCCAGGCTTTGTCTACCTGGGTCTTAAAAACTTCCAAGGAGGGAGATTCAACAACCTCTCTGGGTAACCTCTTCCAGTCCTTTACTACCCTCCTAGTAAGAAAGTTTTTCCTAATATCTATCCTATACTTCCCTTGCTCCTTGTTCTGTCATCTACCATCCAATGAAAACAGCTTAACTCCATCCTCTTTGTAAACACCCTTCAGGTAGTTGAAGACTGTTATTAAATCCCATTTCAGTCTTTTCTTTTCCAGACTAAATAAGCCCAGTTCCCTCAGCCTCTCCTCATACATCAAGTGCCTCAGCCCCTTCCTTGCACAGGAGTAGAAGGGGTGAGAACGTACCTTCTCACACAGGAACCAGGTAAAGATGAGTGAGCTCTTACCACCCCAAACCCTGCAGCATCCTTAAAAGGATTTCATGATACCTCAAGGTGCTGTGACACCAGTTGAAAATTACTGCAATATGCTATGTGGCTACAGTGAGGAAATTCCATATTAGAACAGAATCTCAAAAACTGATGCTGACAGTAGGAAATAGGAACTGATGCTGACGATAAGTAATAGTTTAGAAGGTAGCTCCATATTTAATTCATTTCTTACAGACTCTTGTAATTGACAAATCCTTACTTGGAGCTCAGAATTAAAATCTAGTCACATGCTGAATAACACAGGTTCAGAAAAAGGGCAAAGAGGTATAAATAATGTTTTCAAGTATGACAACAACAAAGAGACAGAGAAGTCACCTAACCACCACTCATCTCCTTTCCTTTGAAACCAGGTAATATAAAAACACTCAAATCCAAGTAGAACTGAAGAGGGGTGGGGAGAGAGTGCCAACTTTGCTGTGAGCAGGAAATATTCTCATTGTTCAATTTACAACGTGACCTCTGTCATGCAAACGAACATCTAGGAACCCATTTCTTTAATTGTTAAATTTCTTGAAAGTTAGCAGTTTGAAGAACTAAGAGAGTGAAATATCTTTGTTGCTTTTTAAGTGTTAGTTTTGTGTTGGAACTCATAAATCATTCACAAGATTGGAGCAAAACAAAATTTCGAGATATGAAAAATCTCCGTTAAATGTATGGCAAGTATTCTTTAGAGCCTTTTTCCCCCAAGAAAAGATCAAAAGTTCAGCACAGCACTTAAAGTATTTATTGAAGTGCCTACTCTCTTTTAGACCCACACATGATAAATATGATCTATTGGAAAGTAAATTTTAGAGCAATATCTATATTCCAAGTGTTGCACAATTTAAAGACAAAACAACTACAAACAAATATTTTGAAATGGGATCTTATTAAAGAAATATCTGGTGAAGCAATCAAATTACTCTAAGTAGCAATTTCAAAAAGTGCTTCCTAATTCAGGGGTTGTGATTACAGAGTAGTTAAGATTTCACACTTCAACTCAAGAGATTTGAGTCTTGCTCCGGACTTGGGGCCATCTCTGGGAGTGGCGAATTGGGGTGACTGCCCTGGGCCCCACACTTTGGGAAGCCCCGCAGAGCTGGGCCGACTTCATATCCGGCCACTCACCATCCCTTCCCCCCACCTTCTCCCCACCCCACTGCCACCGCCACCATATCCAGGGGCTGCACAGGCTGATTTGCCCTGGGCCCTGCAACCTGCTACAGTCATCTCTGTCTGGACTTGTTCTAAAGTTTTCCCCAGCTTGCCAAGTGTAAATGGGTATCTAGTAATTCAGGTAAGGAATCAAAGGCAGCTGGATGTGATGCTAGCCACAACCCCTGTGTGATTTAAGCCACAGAATCTGATGTGCCTTAACTATACTCACCTGATATGCCACCTAAGTTTGTGTGCTATACAAATGAGTCAAGACCATTCATGAACCTATGAATGTTCTTGACTCATTAGCATAATATTTATGAATAAATTAAATTGAGGCATGAGAACATTTTCCCCTTATGGACGTTGTTAAGGGGAAAAAAACAACTAGTTTTTGCCTTGAAAATGATCCCTGCATCCATGCTGAATTCTACTGACTTCCAAGGTGTTGTGTATGGGTATAGGGTCTGTGCTGCCTGCTCCCAGTGCAGGAACCAGATCACTGAGATTAAAATTGGGGGTTATGGAAGAGAAGAGATTAAAATAAAAGGTAGCCTAAATGGCAGGAAGTGACAGATTTCTAAAAGATAACCAAATCATCAAGCACAAGAATCAAATCATAGTACAAGAAAGATCCGGAGAAACTCAAGAACTTCATGCATGTTCTGCATATGCAACTGAGATGGGAAGATTTAGAAGTGTGCCTCTGATTACTCAGCCGAACATGGTGTGCAGAGATAAAAGGAGTTCCTTCCTCCTTCCTTTACAGTTCGTGAGCGAATAGTGAAGATTGCAAAAGGAACTGGTCACTACCCTTGGGGATTTCGGATCCAGTTTTCAAAGCCTATCCTTGTCACTGAGGTGGATACTAGTAAGTGGTGTCTTTAATTTCTGACTTAAATATATTCAAGATATTTGCATAGTACTGTGCATAAAGCAGGCTAACATCCCTGAACAGACCATGACAAACTACCAAAGGACACTAGTCAGCTGGGAGCTCAGCAAGACTCTTTTGTTCTGTTACTACCCCTGCTCAGAAATAAATTTTTCTCTTCAGAGGTGGCCTAGTAAGGCAAGTTTTGGCTTCAAGTAACTGCCTGAGTCAATCCTCTTCTCAAAGGCAAGGTCTGAAACCATCAGCCTGACTTTCATAAAGGGCAGATAAATCATTGGGAATAGCATGACGGATGTACTGATCACAATAAAACCATTCCCCAAAATCTCACCTGAAACAGTTCTTTCCTGTTGATCTCCATTCAGTTGCACAGAAATCCTCAAGAGGTAATGCACAGAAACCTAGTCAGGAAAAATAGCTGTCAAACCACAAAAGACTAATGGCCATTACGGAGGAAAGAAAGGGAAAAAACCTTTAATTGTGCACACATGATTAAAAAAACAGTTTGGCAGTGGATACATCCTTTATACCCTCAGAGAGGAAATGACTGGGGTATTAAAGCAGAGGAGACTTCATTTCTTCCCCCAAACTACAGAAACTAAAGAAAGAAAAATATAACAATCTGGTATCTGCTTCTGCCACACAGAGATCTACATAAAAGGTGTTCCTCCACCCTTGGCTACCACCCATGCTTGTGTGGCTCCAGTTGTGGGAAGGGAGACTACCCAAAAATAGATCCACAACATGGTTGTTGTCCTAGCTTATGCACCAGACTGTCCTTGCTAACGAATCCAGTGCCCTACTATGCATGTCACTGACAGCTGCCAAATTGTCTCCCAAGCAGAACACTTTATTAAAAAAAAAAAAAGAAGAAATTATGCTACCAAACAGTATCATCATGAACTGGCACTGGAGAAAAATCAGGAATGCCAGAAAGAAATGGAGCATAGACAAGCAAATGCACAGAATCACTGACATACCAGAAAAGGTCAAACATCTTCCATCTTTAAGACTAAAATCAAAAACCCAGAGGGAGCCTAAAGGGTCTGAAAATTGTTAGATTTATGTATCAGTCATACTTTGTGCAGGAAGCTTCTGTTCAGTTTTAAAAGTCATTCTAACCTGTTGGCTTAGAGCAAACGTTCTGCTTATTAAATGCTAAAAATAAAACCTTTGGATGAGAAGACCAACCCATGCAAAGGACAAGCTTACTTAGAATAAAAAAATAAAATGTTAGAAGTGGGGAATTTATATTACATATTCCAGAAAATTGCAATATTGTCTAGGCTTTGTCGCAGGACCTCTGTACATATGATATATTAGTTAAAATAGACAGTAAACAATATATAAAAGACTCAATGTATATGATTATGGGGTAGTTCAAGAGTCCCTCTCCCCTTTCTCCAGAAATTACCATAAAATTTTACTCCAGAATCCAAGCATTCATTCTCTTTCTACAGTATTGGTGAAAGTAACAAATATAATGATAGTAATATGAATCCCAAATAGAAGTTCTGAACAAAGTGGACAAATTCAGATCATGTCTTTGGGGTGTTACCCAAGAGCCCCAAAGAGGACAAAGTATGTCAGCATTGTTAGCTGTTTTTTGTTGATAATTTTATAAGAAATATAAAGTGAATGTACTCACCCATTGGTCTGAGTTGGGGAATCACAGTGGTATTTTCTGGGGTAAAAGTCACTGTAGAGAATTACTGGGCTGAAAAATAAAGATTTCAAGCATTCCTTCCATGCAAAGTAAGAGTTATTGCTGCTTCTGCCCCTAAAAAGACGAAGAACACATATATCATTTTCTTAGTATTAAGAGTCTCAGCTGGATTCCACAGTGCAAACACATTGCAGGGGGGGGCTCTTAAGTCAAGTAACATACCTTACAATGGGAGTTTTATGCAGGGTATTTGTATGTAATGTATACAATTATAAAATCATTTCAACAGTGAAAGCAGCTATTACAAATCATGTCACCACCATTAAGGTTGTGGGGGGTTCTCATATTCTTTCTTTGCAAGCAAAACAGAGATTAGTTTGCTTGAAGAACAAATTGCAATAAAATTATGCTTCTTTGCATGTGGCTGATTTTGTTAAGGAACATTATAAAAATTGTATCTGAAACCATGAAGACATTTATTTTTCATACATTTTAAAACAAGATTGACTTTAAAAATTGGTTAAAATGCAATTCAGTTGATGGAAATCAAAATGGCTGAATCACAGTAATACTATGAGACAAAGCTGATCTATAATTCTATAATTTGTGGGTTTTGTTCTGAAAATAGTAGATATTATTACTACTACTGCATCTACTGCTCACCATTATCTACCTCATTCCCTACAGCTTATAAACAGCCTCTGAAACATACTGTACCATCACTTTTACTAAATGATAGGGTTCAGGTAATTTAAAATTATATGGATTTTTTATAATATAGGCATTCTGTGATTTTTCCAAAGAACATTTTTGCATGGTACATTAGGAATACTTAATTACATACTGAAAAGAAAAAAATGTGACTGAGAAATATGTAGGTGGAATTTAAGTGACTGCATTAATGTACCTAAATGGAGCATATTTTGTACTTATATAACTTATCTTCCATTCCAAGCTATATTTGCATGCCTTTTATCTATTGAAAGTGCATATGGTTTTCAACAACTTATGTATAAACAAAAGTATGATACATTAACAATTCTGAATTAGTTACATGTTTACTGTCCCTTCATTAGCTGCTTTTTCATTTATAGGATACAAGATACAAACATATAGAGGCTAAATCACATTAGCAAGTAGGATTTAGCCATTAACATAAAGCGTACAATTTTGAGACCTAATTCAAAACCCATTGAAATATAGGAGGTCTCTCATTGACTTCCCTCATCATTGGATCAGATTTTATGGTTAGACATTTATATCTTGAACTTCAAAGATACTTCAGTGATTATCTGCCTCTTCAGGCATCTATGTCCTCTCTTTAGGTGGAATTGGCTGCCACCTCCACCCTTAGACTTTGCCCCGGTACCAGGTTTTAATGGTTCATGTTTGTGAAGCTCCCAAGCACTTCTGCCATCAGTAAGCTACTCAAACATTAAGTCAAGATGAAGCCCTGGGGCTTCTAAAGCACAGGATATATAGATGCAGCAAAGACAGGTGCAGCACACTTTTTCTGCTTTATATACAGAAGAGAAGAAGATAAAGAAACTTTGAGGATCTATCTTATGGCTAGGGTACTCACCTTGAATATGAAAGATAATCCCTGCTCTGCTTGATTCAGAACAGAGACCAAAACCAAGGTCTTCTAAGGCCCTGGGCTGTTGTGTATTCAAAGGAGCATGCTCTCCTTCCATGGTGTTTCATAAAAAAAAGTCTGCACAAAAAGCTGGCCTGGCTTAGGTTCCAGCTACAGGAAAGGGAAGATTCTAAGCCACGAGAGGTCACTATCTCTGTGCGGCAATACATACATAACCTTGAGGATTTGGGTGCTGTTTCTACAGGATGCTACTTATTCAATCAAGTAGGGGAAATGGATTTTGTTCTGATAACTGGGATTGTAATGAGAAGTATATATTTTTTTCATTAAAATGATGGATGATGGATAACCAAAAGATGGTTATCTACAAGAGAATGTGCTGTGTTGAAATAAAAATGCTTCTTTCTGGGGGATTTTAAAACCATGTTTCCTTTTGTCTTTCACCTCTGGAAGCCTTTGCTAGCTCAGTACTTTTCATCAGAAAGTTAATTAAAAGTTCCGCCTTTTGCTCCTTGACTCCAAAGGCCTACAATGAGCTTCATTCCCACAAGACAATGCAAAAGATTTAAAATTCAGGAAAGAGATGGAGTAAAAATGATATAATGGCAAGATATGTTAGATAAATGTCCTTGAGAAGATGTGTACTATTCTCAGATAGCACAATGTGAGACTAAGCATAGAATTGCTCAGGTCTTTACTTTTTTAGTCTGTTTAGTCTCATAAAGTCTTTTAAAAAGAGACATGCTGTAATTGACATAACTGACACCATCAATATGCCCTGTACATATCACTCTTTTTTGGGGTAAAGAGTAGAGACTACATTTTCAAAAGGGCCTTTAAAAGTTGTGCGCATAACATTTCATGTCCAAATATTCTCACATGTAAAAATTCTGATGTGTATGCAGGGATCTGTATAAAATACAGATCTGTAGTGCCTAAAAGACATCTTGATTGTCCTTCATAAAAAGTTATGCTCTGACCCTGCTGAGAACTCAGCACAGGTAGATCACCAAAGTTCTTCAAATTAAAAAAACAACAACAAAAAGCAGATTTAGGCCACTTAAAAAAATCTGGTTCTATTTATTGATGAGGAACAGATGACAAAACAGCTGCTCACAAGAGTAGCTGGACATACTGTAGAGCTCTTCAAGTGACTCAGGAGCCAATTCCTATCATATTTAGTAGAATCAAGACTTAAATACTACAGGTTTTTTATCCACCATGGAAATAGCAAACTGTGATGCTAATGCAAATTGCATTTTGTATCTTGTGGTACCTTCCCTTAATAAATTGCATAGTTCGCGTTTTGGTTCTAGACAGTGCGGCTGAGGAAGCAGGGCTTCAAGTTGGGGATATTTTGATAGCTGTCAATGGAACAGATGTCACCAGCATGCCGCATTCAGAAGCTGCAAACCTGGCAAGAAAAGGTAAGCTTGAGTTCATTGTTAATTGCATGAGTCAGGATCATTGTATGGTGCTGAGTGGCTTGAAACTATGGTGATGGACACTATAGAAAATTAGACAACGTTTATTTGTACTCCAATTGCCTAGAGTAGTTACTTGGTCTTGCTAAAACATACAGATATTGGCAAAATAATTCCCAAAGATCCCATTTTGTAACAACAATTTAGGGGGTTCATGCCTCAAAGAGAGTCTCCTGACACTAATTTCAGGCATACCAATATCTTACTTAAATCTTATACTTCCTCAGGGGAGGAATTCACTGTGTAATGCACCCAAGGAGCTATTCTTTTTTTTTGTTTCTAGTGACTGAGATGTAATAAGAACAAGAGAAAAATTATTTCATGAGGTAGCCATTTGCAGCACTACAGAAACAGTCAGTTATATTATTCATGCATATTCTTTCCAAAATTATGATGGCTAAAACCCAAATATATCCATTTGTGTATGTTGAAAGTCAGTCTCCTGCAGTTCTTTTAATTTTCCTAGATAGGATTTTGACAGTGGCTCAGGGGAAACTGAGTAAATGAAAATGCTTTAACAAAAGAGTAACAAATTTGTCTTGACACATACCAAATTCTTTCATTATAAAGGTGTCATTCACACCGTTATATGTAAAAGTGTGTCAACCTTTCACATCCCTCACCTACAAGGTGTTTATTCAGTCATCTCTGGATACTCCCCCAGTCTGAATTTTGGTATAAAAACAACAATCTCAGTGTCACTATCCCCATAAAGGGAAATGCAGCCTCAACAACAAATGTTTTGTAAATGAAAATGTGTCATAATGATGGTTCTCAAGTTGTTTCTTCGGAATTGTTGCCTGCTCAGAAGTTTTGTCTGTGAAATCAGGATTTCAGGCCCCAGTGGGTAAATCCATGCATGTGCTGATAGTATCAGTGTATCATGTGACTATTGCAAAACATCATCATAATGTGGATAGGCTAAATTACCTATTACCATTGTCCTAATTACCATTACTAGTTGCCAACCCAGGAGCAGGTCTGCTATGAAAAATAACGTGTTTAAGATAACAAGGGCAAAATTTTCACAGGAGCTTCAAAGCTACAACTACAGTATTTTGGTATGGCCCCACATTTGTGCAAATGATTTGTGGATTTAGGCTAACACGCTGTTCCTTTGCAAGGTAACTTTTTACCAAAAATGTGGGGTTTGCAAGCACAAAACTGTTCCCCTGCTGATTGTGTAGACCAGTTTAAGTGGCTGTTTCAGAAATTTGAGTCTGAGAATGCAGTGATGTTCTCCAGTATAAAATGAGTTTGTTTTTTCCTGTTCCTTTCAATGATGTATTTCTGCCTGAAAGAAAAATACACTTTTTAGTGTATTTTTTATCTCTAGTTCTGGCCCACCCTAAAATATTCTTAACATATCCTTTCAGGTCCTGATATCTTGACCTTGTTGGTTGGATCAGACATCAGTCGCTACCCCAATACTCCTAGACCAACATGTCGAGGATATTTGCACAAACGAACTCAGTCAGCCATCCTGAAGGGCTGGAGGAAGAGATGGTTTGTGCTGAAACATAACGGCTACCTCCACTATTACAAACATAAGAAGGTAAGGAGAGGGCATAGTAAAAATAGCAATAGAGGGCTGCAGTAGCGTTGTACTCACAGCTATGGAGAGAAGATACATTCTGTTATATTAACATAAAATGTCTAGAACAGGGGTTCCCAACATTTCACCCTGAGGGGCCATTTCAAATGGAGGGACATGTCCAAGAGGTTCACAGCCCACCTGCAGACCACACTTTGAGAACACCTAGAACTACCACCACCATAAGGGTATCTTTTGATGTGTATACCAAGCTTCCTTACTGCAGAAATGCCCACAGGCCAACTTCTGGCTTCATTTACACTTACGAAACTCCACTGAAGACATTGATTCAATAATAGCTTCATCAAAATCGAGTGGATTCAACGTCTCTTTCCTGGTTAGGACACTAGAGTGTGTTATAAATCAAAATGTAGATAAGGTGGAGATTTTGGAAGTACAGGCAACCCCTGCTTGATGCTGTTTTGC